CTCTACAGAAAATAAAAAAATTAGCCAGGCATGATGGTGCACACCTGTAGTCCCAGCTACTTGGGAGGTTCAGGCAGGAGAATCACTTCAGCCCAGGAGTTTGGGGCTGCAGTGAGCTATGACTGCGCTACCACACTCCAGCCTGGGTGACAGAGCAAGGCTCTGTCCCCCAAAAAAAAATTTCCTCCAAACAGAATTGAGCTGCACCTAGCCACACAAAGCAAGTGCCCTCCTTACACAGGGAGCCACAGAATCTTAGGGTTGCCAATTGAAAATTGGGCCGGGCACAGTGGCTCATGCCTGTAATCCCAGCACTTTGGGAGAGCAAGGCAGGTGGATGACCTGAGGTCAGGAGTTCGAGACCAGCCTGGCCAACATGGCGAAACCGGGTCTCTCCTAAAAATACAAAAATTACGCCAGGTGCAATGGCTCAGGCTTTTAATCCCAGCACTTTGGGAGGCCAAGTTAGGCAGATCACAACGTCAGAAGTTTGAGACCAGCCTAGCCAACATGGTGAAACCCCATCTCTATTAAAAATACAAAATTAGACGGGTGGCACATGCCTGTAATCCCAGCTACTTGGGAGGCTGAGGCACAAGAATCACTTGAACCCAGGAGGTGGAGGTTAGAGTGAGCCGAGATCACGCCATTGCACTCCAGCCTGGGCTACAGAGTGAGACTCCGTCTCAAAAAAAATAATAAATAAAAAAAAAACAGCCAGCTACTCAGGAGGCTGAGGCAGGAGAATCGCTTGAGCATAGGTGGTGAAGGTTATAGTGAACCAAGATCACACCACTGCACTCCAACCTGGGTGACACAGTGAGACTCCATCTCAAAAAAAAAAAAAGAAAAAGAAAAAGAAAAAGAAAAACAATAATATTATTTCATCTTCCCTGTTCCCCACCCCCCAACCTGCCTTGATTTATAGATGAAGAAACTGAGACAGGGCGAAGGCAATGTAGGTCAATGTCCAAGCAGCCCACAGGTCACAAAATGCCTCATGGCTGAGCCAGACCTGGAACCCAGTCTCAAATCCTCCATGAGCCCTTGTCCAGCCATCTACAGACAGGAATGACTTCAACTTCAAATGTGCAGTCTGTATGAAAAACATGTATTCATACCCTGCGGAGATGAAGATACATTTTCTAGGGCATGTCATGTTCTGTACTCCAGGGGAAATGAGGGTTGTTGGGAGACTCATTCTGCAGTGCCAAGTACCCAGGCCCCTCCATTCACAGGCATTTCACAGCCTGGAAATTGAAGAAGTGACTTGGATGGGTCTGGGGTACTTTCTGGACACCACACCGAAGCTTTCTTCCCATCCATGTACTTCTCCGACTAGTATTTTAGGGTGTTTTTTTTTTTAATTTTTATTTTTTTATTTTTTGCTCAGAAATCAATGAAAGATAGCTACAATAGAGATGACCTGAACAAATCCACCAACAGAAATGTGTACCCCTCAGAATTTGCCATTACATAATATTTACTTGCTCTCATAGTGCGCCGAGGGTCTGAAAACACGCTGAATAACAAACAGTAATTCAGTTTTACCACCTTATGCAGAGATACGCGTATGTTCTGGAACTCCCTTTTATAGGAGGCTGAACTGAAGCATACAGGTTGAAAGGTTTCTCCCTGAGACCTGACTCAGAGGTGCGTCAGATAACACAGACCACACCACGAAGCCCAGTCCTTTCTCTGTGTTGCTCTTTGCTTCCTCAATCTCATTTCCCCCCCTGAGCCAACCTTCGCTCCCATTTAGCTCCCACTCTAACCACACAGACCAAACGCCTTGACCCCTTAGCTTCCAACAGTAAATGCTCTGCTCTGTGAGGCAAGATACGTAGATAATGCAGCAGATATCAGATTACAAAGTCTGGCAAAGTGAGTGCACCTGCAGCGTTTACGATGCTTTATTTTAAACGCATGTGAACCCTGGGAGCTGACAGCCAAGCTTCTTACAGGGCTTTCCTGGCTTCCTCTTAAAGATGTATGGTGACAGCGGGGCAAAAGAAGTGACTGGAACTGATGCATATTTTGGAAATGAACGCCAGTAGTTAATTGCCGGTGCCTTTCATTTTAGATTTCATTCAGAACAAGAGAAGGGCCCAGACTCAAAATCCATACTGTAGGGACCAGAAGTCACCTCCACGTTAAGGCTCAGGCCAGGGTCACTGGTCGTGGCCCAGGGTGGAGCAGGCATCTTGAACTGGGGACCACTTCTAGAGTCCACCAAGGCAAAATAATGACAATCCAAAAGCTCTGAAATGCTTCCAAGTTTAGATAACATTATGCTATCATGATTGCCATCATTATGCTTTCTTATTTATTTCATTTTAGTTTTTTGGGACTGAGTCTCACTCTGTTGCCTAGGCTGGAGAGCAGTGGCGCAATCTCAGCTCACTGAAACCTCCGCCTCCTGGGTTCAAGCGATTCTCCTGCCTCAGCCTCCCGAGTAGCTGGAATTATAATCACCACACCCGGCTAATTTTTGTATTGTTAGTAACGACAGGGTTTCACCATGGTGGCCAAGCTGGTCTCCAACTCCTGACTTCAAGTGATCCACCTGCCTTGGCCTCCCAAAGTGCTGGGATTACAGCTGTGAGCCCCCATGCCTCACCCATTATGTTTTCTTTACTTGATTATTAAAGTTCAATTTCCAAATACTAAAGTTAAGTCAAATGATCTACTAAGCATTTGCCATTACAAAATCTACAAAGTGTGTCAACCCTGTATGGATAGTCAAAAGTTACTCTGCCTATCTGTGAATACCGGCTATGCCACGGAATAGCTAGCTAAGATTTGACAGCTCACATAACATCTCTGCCACCTTAGTTTTCTCATTTGCAAATTGGGTATAACGGTAAATACCTGCCTCGTAGGTTACTCTGAGATTTAAATGAGTGAATACCCATAAGGCATGTAGAATAATACCTGGTCCTAGATATAGATTTGAGAATATCACCTATGATTACCACGATTATTATGTGGAGTCAACACATCTTGATCATCGCACTGTTTCTCTTTCACTCTTCTAGGTCCCCTGCTGGCACTACAGTGGGAAGTTCCTTTGCAAAGAATTGCATCCCAGGCAGAAGGCAATGCTTTGGGACCCTAAGAGAGACCCATTCCCAAAGCTCACAGGGAACAAGGCTGGAGTCCAGGAAGCTGTTCTTCCAGAGCTATACTCTGGCACTAGAAGGCAAATCCCTATTTTTCCCCAAGGTGAAAACCACCCGCGATCATCTCCAAACAGGCCGGCCGAGCCTCAGCGGCCCGACACTGCAGACGTGCAGCTGCAGGAGTCAGTCAGCGGACAGTGCATCAGTAACCCAGAGGCTGGAAGGCAGTGTGGGGGCTCAGCTGGGAACAAGGCACTCACACAGGGTGGGTCCCCACGCTGTCACACCGCCTCATCCTCATCGGCCACAGCTCAGGTCCTGGATGACAAGAAAAGGCCACGCTTTCTTGTTACTCAGTAACTTGAGCATCTCAGAATCACAACCCCAAACCCGAATAAACCTCAGTGGCAATCTTCAAAAGTTTTGACCCAAACTAACCCCTTACCTGGCTGCACCGAGAGGACACCCCAAATCCTTCTTTATTAAAAAGGTACGTCTTTTTTGTTTTCATTTCAACAAAGCTAGCAAAGAGGTGCCCTCCCTGAAAGGCAGCAGCCATAGCAGGGAGACCCCACTCTAGTCCTCAGCTACACCTTCCTCGGGAATCAGAAGCAGAGCTGGGAAAGCCACCTTCACAACTTCCCTCCTGGGGACCCCCCCCCCTGCAGCTCTGCGTGGGGGTGAGGGAAAATAACTGAAGAGCAGCAAACCCTGAGCCTGGAGGCGACGACAATCTGGGTAATGTGGTGCTGGAAAAACAGACCAAGCACAAAAACAGGCACTCTGAAAATAAGAAGGAAGGAAAAAAAGCACCCAACCACACACTGATCTATCCCATAAAAATCTCCTCCTTTTCTTCCCAGCCTAACCAACACCTTCATGAATCCCTGCAAAATGTACACTTCAAACTGCACATCCGTGCGTGAATACACATACACTGACAAATTCTAATCCACAACACTGATCGTATGAGAGAATAAAATAATTTGAACTTCAGACTCATTCGGCAGGTCCTGATTCTCTTTCACTATCAGCCTCCCCACCTATGCTGAGCTGCTCCAAAACAAAACAAACAAGACCCAACTCCTGGGCAGAAAGGGAACAGCAGCGGAGCTGAGCAGCACATGCTTGGAGCCTTCCTGCCATCGACTTCGGATTATTTCTGCTTCCTTGAGACGCAACCATCAGCATGGGACTCAACGCAGCCCTGAGAGCACCGCCCGCGCAGCGACGCGCACAGACCCTCCCTTGGAGATGCGCTCCCCGGCGCGTGCGGCCGAGCCCACGAGAAATGCACAGACCCTCCCGGGAGGCTCTGCCCAAGTGTGACCGACCATAAGCCCTGCGAAGCCCTTCCCTTCCATCCTCGCGTGGCCACCCCAAGTCTTGCCTACACCTCGTACGTGCAGATGTCAATTCCATAGGAATACATGATGTAAGGACAGAAATGGGAATGACTGGAGGCTGATCTTCTCGTGACCACGTCTCGCCAACGCGGTGTGCCCATGCACCGCGAGTAAACGCACACAGCCGGTAAACAGCCATCCCCACCATGCTCGGCCCACAGTCACGCGTGGGGAGAAGGCAACGGAGAGGGTGGCGGTGGCAGGGGAAGTGGGAAGTCGCCCGCCCGCGTGGGCTGCTCCCTGACAGCTCGGCGCTGCCCCTCCCCCTCCCGGGAACCGAGCCCACCCCGGGGTCGCAGGCCCAGGCGTCGGGCGCGCTCGGGGGGCTCCGCAGCGCCGAGAACCGGACAATGAAGACGCAGCGACGGGCCGGGTTCCTGCCGCGGTGGCGGCGGCGGCGCTAGCAGCTGGAGCCGCCCGTGCAGCCCCCACCGCGGCCACCTCCGCCCTCACCTCCCCGGTCCCCACTTACGTTCCGAGGGTCTCCTTGAACTCGAAGATCTTCTTGATGTCTTCAGCCTGCTTTTTCCAGGAGGAGCTGCTCTCGCCGTTCTCCCGGGCCATGGCCGACGAGCGCGGCGCGGAGGGGCGGCTGGGGGCGCACTGGGGAGGGGGCGCCGGGGGTGCGGCGCGGGCGCAGGGGCGGCGGGGATGCCGGGCGCCGAGCCGGGCAGCTTCGGCTGCGGCGCGGCTTCCTCCTCTGCAGTTTCCTCTTTCGCTCTCGCCGCCGCCGCCGCGGTCCCTCCCTGGCTCTTATTTCTGCTGCTCTCGGGCACAGACTTCCTGCCGCCGCCGCGCGCCGGCTCCTTTGCCGCCGCCTGCCAGCCTCACTTTCTGCTACTTTCTTGCCTCCCTCCCGCTCCCTCCCCGCCGCCCGCCGCGCTCCCCGCTCTCGCGCCTCCTCCCCCTCCTCCCCCTCCTCCCCCTCCCGCGGGCTCCCCGCCCTCCCAGTGCGCCCCAGCCGCTCCCCGCCTCCCGCGCGCCGCCTTCGGGGATGTCCCGCTCCCCTCCCGGGAACGCCGGGCCGCGGCCGTCGCGCCCCCTGGAGCCCCGGCGAGGGCGGGTGCGGGCCCCCGGCAGGTGCGGGGCGCGCGCGGGAGAGCCCCAGCCCCTCGGGGAGCTGGACCCGGAGCCAAGTCTGGGGGCGCCGGGGCTTTCCCGTCTCTGGCGGGAGGGGGCGCCTCTGCGCGGCTCGGAAGCGCTGAGCGGGCGGGGGTGCGCGGCGGCCGGATGCGGGGCGCCGAGGGCGGGGCGCCTTCCCGCGCTGGGGCGGGGGGCACGGGGGACCCGAGGGGCGCGGCGCGGCGCGGGGCGGGCGGGGGCCGGTTGTTATGGCTACGGGCGGCGGCTGCTGGGATGCAGGCGGCGGCGGGAGCTCCCCGGGCCCGGGCGGCGGGCGGCAGCTCGTTCGCATTGCACCAAATCGGTTTCACGTCAGTTTCGGGACGGACCCGGGAGGAGCAAGCAGGGGAGCCTCCAGGCGGGCACGCGCAGGACGCGCCAGCAGCTGCCTAGTGGTCCCTTTCCGAGCAAAACTCCCGGGGGTGTTTGGCTGCCCTGTGGGGGGCCCGGCGCCGGGCGGGAGCGGCCGGTGGAGCTCGCCGGCCTGGCTTCTCGCATCTCTCTCTCTCCTCTTAGAGACTTAATGGAAAGTGATCGTCTGTCCCGCAGTCCCCTCGAAGGAGGGGCTCACCTGCTTTCCTAGGGGCAGGCACCCGCTTTCCTAAGGGCTGCCAAAACAAACCCAGAGAATTTCCTCCCGACTCTCATCTCCCAGCTGTACTTTGGCCTGTCCGCCGCACTCCTGGTGTCCACCTGTCAGAGGGTGGCCCACGTGCTCCAGTTCCCTGGTCCCCAACCTGCAGGGGCGACCTCTTGATCGGAAAATTTTAGTTTTCTTGGTATCAATACTTCCCCTCCCCGGGGCCCCTCCTCGGAGTTAGGTAAACAGCCCCGTCTCTTGACTGGGGACACCTGTCCCATTTTCCCAGGACTGTTCCAATTTCACTGTAAAATGAAAAAAAAAAAAAAGAAGACTGCTCCCTGTAAAGGAAATTTCATCCAGCACCTTCTGCCTAGTTCTGACTCTGGCTAGAGTGGAGGCAGGCCGGATGCTCTCCATCAGCTTCTTCCCTGACCCCAAAGAAGTCAGAGGACATCCACCAGTGTGGTGGCTCACGCCTATAATCCCAGTACTTAGGAAAGGCGAAGCGAGCGAATCACGAGGTCAGGAGATCGAGACCATCCTGGCCAACATGGTGAAACCTTGTATCTAACAAAACTACAAAAATTAGCTGGGTGTTGTGGTGCATGTCTGTAGTCCCAGCCACTTGGGAAGCTGAGGCACGAGAATCACTTGAACCCAGGAGGTGAAGGTTGCAGTGAGCCAAGATTGCTCCATTACACTCCAGCCTGGGCGACAGAGCAAGACAACATCTCAAAAAAAAAAAGTGGGAGCTAAATAAGGTGTACTTGTGGACACAGTGCAGAATAATAGACATTGGAGACTAGGACCTATAAGAGTGAGGAAGGGGAACTGATGAGAAATTAACTAATGGGCACAATGTACCCTGTTCCAGTGATGGTTAAGCTAAAAGCCCAGACCTCACCACTACACAATATATCCATGTAACAAAACTGCACTTGTACCCCTAAATCTATAAAAATAATCATTTTAAAAAAGAAGGCAATTTTACAGGAAAAATAAAGATGAAGGGAAAGCAAGGGAGAAGTTCCATATGGCTCTGTGGCCATGACTTTTCCTACCAGGCTGTAAGCTCCTATTAACTTTCTCACCACTGTTTCCGAGCACGTGACACGGTAACCTACCGATACTGACTGATTCACAAATGTGTGTCAAATGGATAAAGAAATGAAATTAGGATCGGCGCGGTGGCTCACACCTGTAATCTCAACACTTTGGGAGGCCAAGGCAGGCAGATCACCTGAGGTCAGGAGTTAGAGACCAGCCCAGCCAATACGGTGAAACCCTGTCTCTACTAAAACTACAAAAGTTGGCTGGGCATGGTGGCACATGCCTGTAATCCCAGCCATTTGGGAGGCTGAGGCAGGAGAATCACTTGAACTGGAGGTTGCAGTGAGCCAAGATGGTGCCACTGCACTCCAGCCTGGGCAACAGAGTGAGACTGTGTCTCAAAAAAAGAAAGAAAGGAATGAAATCGTGTTAAGACTGCTGTTTGGTATTTGTTGTACTGGTAGAACTGCTATAGGGAGCTTTATTTCTTTTCCAAACTTTCTGTAATGATGTTCATTTGACATTATCAAGCTATTCTCAGCTGGATTAGGTCCTCAAACACACTTTTCTTTCTTTCTTTTCTTTTTTTTTTTTTTTTTTTTTTTTTTTGAGACGGAGTCTTGCTCTGTAGCCAGGGTAGAGTGCAGTGGTGCAATCTCAGTTCACTGCAACCTCCACCTCCCAGGTTCAAGCAATTCTCCTGCCTCAATCTCCCGAGTAGCTGGGACTACAGGCACGTGCCACCACACCCAGCTAATTTTTCTATTTTTAGTAGAGAAGGGGTTTCTCCATGTTGGCCAGGCTGGTCTCAAACTCCTGACCTCAAGTGATCTGCCCACCTCAACTTCCCAAAGTGCTGAGATAACATGCGTGAGCCACCGTACCTGACCAAGATGCAAACTTTTATTTTATTTTATTTTATTTTATTATTTTATTTTATTTTATTTGAGATGGAGTTTCGCTCTTGTTACCCAGGCTGGAGTGCAATGGCGCGATCTCAGCTCACCGCAACCACCACCTCCTGGGTTCAGGCAATTCTCCTACCTCAGCCTCCTGAGTAGCTGGGATTACAGGCACGCGCCACCATGCCCAGCTAATTTTTTTGTATTTTTAGTAGAGATGGGGTTTCACCATGTTGACCAGGATAGTCTCAATCTCTTGACCTCATGATTCACCCGCCTTGGCCTCCCAAAGTGCTGGGACTACAGGCTTGAGCCACCGCGCCTGGCTGACACAAACTTTTAATAAAGAATTGGAGGCCGGGCGCGGTGGCTCACGCCTGTAATCCCAGCACTTTGGGAGGCCGAGGCGGGTGGATCACGAGGTCAAGAGATCAAGACCATCCTGGTCAACATGGTGAAACCCCGTCTCTACTAAAACTACAAAAAATTAGCTGGGCATGGTGGTGCGTGCCTGTGATCCCAGCTACTCAGGAGGCTGAGGCAGGAGAATTGCCTGAACCCAGGAGGCGGAGGTTGCGGTGAGCCGAGATCGCGCCATTGCACTCCAGCCTGGGTAACAAGAGCGAAACTCCGTCTCAAAAAAAAAAAAAAAAAAAAGAATTGGATAGGCCAAGGCCAGAAGAATGGATCCCATGACCCAAAGAAGGAAATGGAAGTGCCAAAGACAGATTCGGTCTGCCTTTATGATGATCCTTTCTCCCTTACTGGATACTACGTAAAATGAAAGTTCTTGATGCTAGAAATTGCAATAAAAACAATAGTCTCCATTCCCTAAGAATGATTAGACCTTAGCCCTTCGCTGTGGCTCATTCCTGTAATCCCAGCACTTTGGGAGGCCAAAATGGGCATATTGCTTGAGCCCAGGGGTTCAAGACCAGCCTGGGCACATGGCGAAAATCCATCTGTAATAAAAACTACAAAAAAGCCGGGCGCGGTGGCTCAAGCCTGTAATCCCAGCACTTTGGGAGGCCGAGGCGGGTGGATCACGAGGTCGAGAGATCGAGACCATCCCGGTCAACATAGTGAAACCCCGTCTCTACTAAAAATACAAAAAATTAGCTAGGCATGGTGGCACGTGCCTGTAATCCCAGCTACTCAGGAGGCTGAGGCAGGAGAATTGCCTGAACCCAGGAGGCGGAGGTTGCGGTGAGCCGAGATCGCGCCATTGCACTCCAGCCTGGGTAACAAGAGCGAAACTCTGTCTCAAAAAAAAAAAAAAACTACAAAAAAATTAGCCAGGTATGGTGGCGCACACTTGTAGTCCCAGGTACTCGGGAGGCTAAGGTGAGAGAATCACCTGAGCCCAGGAAGTGGAGGCTGCAGTGAGCCATGATCTGTGCTCCAGCCAGGGTGACAGGGTGAGACCCTGTTTCAAAAAAGAAAAGAAAAGAAAAGAAAAAAATGCCTTGGCCCTGTAAACGACCTAATTCCGTTCACTGGAGAGCCCTAAATTTGACTGTTCTTCAGAATAACTGGCCATCTCCTCCAGTTTGCCATTTTTCTCTGGAGGAACAGAGATCATGACACTTGCCTCATTTCACCCTTAATTCTGTTGTCAATAAATGGTCGACAACATTGAACAGCTCTCAGTCAAAAGCCATCTGTTAGGTCGGGCACAGTGGCTTACAACTGTAATCCCAGCACTTTGGGAGGTCAGGAGTTCAAGACCAGCCTGACCAACATGGTGAAACCCCATCTCTACTAAAAATACAAAATTAGCTGGGTGTGGTGGCGCATGCTGTAATCCCAGCTACTGGGGAGGCTGAGGCAGCAGAATCGCTTGAACCCAGGAGGCAGATGTTACAGTGAGCTGAGATCGCACCGTTGCACTTCAGCCTGGGCAGCAAGAGCAAAACTCTGTCTCAAAATAGTAGTCATTTTTTTAAAAGCCGTCTGTTCCCCATCAATTCCACTCCAGTAAGCTCTGCCAGATAGTGTGGATTACTAAAGCTTAGGTCCTCCACCTTTATATTTCCCTAAAGCCCTTAAAATTTTAGGTTTAAAGAGCCCAAAGAAGAAACACTTTTAATATCCCATCATTAAAGAGTTACCAATTTTATGCCCATCAAACTGTTTACCAAACAACCCTCTTACCAATAGATCATGCTTAATATGGCCCGGGTTC